TCTAAAAATCATATTTTAATTTTTTCATCTGTTTTTTTCCACCGTGCAGCAGCAGAACAGATTTCTGATTTGTTGTATTTTATAAAAATGTCCAGTTCAATAATGTGTGAGAAATCCACAATTTGTTTGTTTATTCAGTCAGTATTTAATACAGCTGACAGAATAAATTGTAAAATATTTTGATCGGCTTCATGTTTTTAGGCCAGCATATTATAAATAATTAACCCTTCATGTTAGACCCTCTTGATACGAGAAAACAGTTTTTTAAGAAAATGTCTGCTTATCAATTAATCGTGAGTCGATCGATAAGATCAGTCAACTTTAAATCAGTTTGTTAATTGATAACTTGCATCCCTAGTTCTAGGTGATACCATTGGCCCTAAACATGTTCCTGCAGTATCTGTTGGTGGTGGACTTCTATCGTGTAGTATCGGAACGGTCGGTGTAGGTACGGGTAGGACTGGTTGGTTTTCCACTGGTTCCAGTCTGGTTCCAATGGGTGTGTTTTGGGCGGTTGGTGGAGGTGGTTCTTAGGTTTTTGGAAAAAAAGTTAATGGGCAAAATGAGAGATGGAAACACATTTGATGAATAACTTTTGAAATTTTAAAAATCTGCAAAAATTTAGCCAATAAGTGACAAACAGTGTTCTGACGTTGCATTTTGGTGTCAGCTGGGGCCGGTTGGAACCACAATGAAGTAGGTACTAAAAAAGGGCCGGTTCCATGAATCTGGCCTAATGGAAATGGCTTGGAACCGTACTGAACCGTACCGACACTACACTAAGTGGCACTAGTGGAAAAGGGGCATTTGTGACAAACTTACAAAATAACTCTTCTCAGTTAACAACAGAAATATCAGACCTTTCTCCTCAATCATTAACTGATAATAAATGTCCGCTCTGACCACCAATGTGATGACCCTGACTGAGACATGACTGACATGTGACATAAGACACAGTAGTGAACGGTTAAGCCCTCACCTGGGTGTGCCCACACACAGGACCTTTCTGTACCCCAGGCCGGCTAACGTGTCCAGCAGGAAGAGCGCGCTGCGATCAGTGAACAGGTACTGGGCGTTGCTCTTCTTGTTGTCCAGCGGACGCAGCAGGATGCTGGGCCTCCTGAGCTGGGYGGCGGTGACGCCCGTGGTTCTGTGAGCGGAGTGAGCGCCGTGCTCTGCAGGCAGGAGCAGAGTCTGACAATCCTCGCAGAACTTCTTCATATCCAGAGGGAGCGAGACGAACGTCTCAARCCTGAGGGACACGGGTCAGAGGTCACGCTGTCATTGTTTTCACAGAAAGAGACAGCTCACAGCTCAACTGACCTCCCACCTCTTATAGGACTCCTGCTGTGTGAACGGTGGTCTTTTGGACCGGTTCTCTGCTTCTCGCGCCAGCAGACGGGCCTCTGACACCTGTAGGTAAATGCATTAAAGCAGCTGCTGATATAAAACTTTAGCTAGAAAYGAACTAAAAAACCAGGAGGACTRACCTTTTCATCTTCCCACTGAAAAAAGCTGCAGTCTTTCCTGTCTCGACAGGCTGAACATGCATAAAAGCGTCTTCCTCTGGCCCCTCCTCYGCCCACCTTCTCAAATAGTAAAGTTGGACCTGATGAAACAGAAGAAGTGACGTCACTCACCAGTTAATACAATGATAAATGTGACACAGCAGGCAGAACACACAACKGAAACCAGATGTTTACATACACTAGGGCTGTGTACTGGCAAGAATTTGGCAATACAATACCATACATCACGATATATTGCAATACTGTAAGTAAGGCGATATATTGCCATTTTTTCCCCAAAAATTCAAATTTAAACAATACTGTTTTTTTTATATATGTTTACTCACAATGCTAATGTTTGAGCTAGCGTTAAACTCCTTGGCTCATTAGGAGTGGAGGAACCAAATGACTGCTGCCAACTACTGGTCGGAGGCTAAACTACAACATAAGAATGAACTGCTGGCATGAAAGATTGAAAAGGGGTTCTCTGCAGACTCAAAGTAGGCGTTTCTCAAGCACAATTGTACTTACTTTGTTTCTCGAAAAGGTTGGTTCTTCTCTTTCATTTTTCTTTCACTTTTGGCACAATAATTTTAGCAACAATAGTATTTTTTGGAGTGCTGGTTATCCCATTTTCCCCCCAATAATTTTAGATGCCAAAACTGATTTTGTTGTTTCAATGAGATCACAATGTATCATTAAAACAAACATTTAGTTCACCCTATTTCTAAATATCTATAAAAAATAAAAAACTACAGACTGACGTTGCTCTTATTTTGAAATGTAACTGGGAGCTCTTGGTTAAGAGAAGCAGAAATAATGAATGAAGAAGTTGGGTCCAACGCTGGCAGCATCTTCATAAACATATAATAATGGCCAGCTAACATAATCTGTCAGTTGTTGTTATCCCCAAGTCTTTTAATTACCTTGGTAACAAGTTTGTGAAACTAATTAAATWTGAAAGTTTGATGCTAGACRAATAAGCTAATAATAYAAAGAAACATCTAAGCAATGATCATTCAATCAGGTGGTGTGCTTGAACAACACCTTTTTTYCTCTCGTCCAATCAGGTGTGTCCCTTGAAAAAAGCTCATCCAAGCAGGTCAAAAAGAAAAAAAAGTAGGTCCTCTGGA